GCGTGGCGGGTCCGGGGCTCCCCCCAACACCTGTAGGAACCCCAGGTGGGCTGTGGGCAACCCCGCTGGTTTCCCCAGGAAGCACTTGGGCAAGGCGGCCTTTGGGTTTCCTGGTTTGGGGCTGGAGGTGTCTTTTCCCCTGGTCTTGGGCTTCCCGCCTGGCTGTGGGAGAGGGCCGCCTGGTCCCCTGCCCCACTGACCTGTCCCCCTCACCCACAGGTGATCCGCAAGGGCTGGCTGACCATCAACAACATCAGCCTGATGAAGGGCGGCTCCAAGGAGTACTGGTTCGTGCTGACCGCCGAGGCGCTGTCCTGGTACAAGGATGAGGAGGTCAGCGCTGCTGGGCCCCTCAGCGCTACCTGTGCCTTTAGATCCAGGTGTCTCACGGGTCACCACTAGGGCCCGGTGATCCAGGCTCCCCCCACCCCCCTACCTCATCCTCCCGCTCCTCCGGGGCCTGGGAGGGTCCCTGGGGGCTCCCTGAAAGCTGAGCACTCCTGCCCCCCCTCTTAAGGACAGAGCCTTCCTCCTCAAACCCTCACACCTGCCTGGGAGCAGGGCCGGGGGTCCAGGGGAGCACTGTCGTCATCCTGTATGCCAGGCGAGGAAACAGGCTCCCAGCAATGGCTGGCGCACATCCTCTCTGGGGAAGGGTCTTCTATATGGGGATGCGGGGGGCACCCCTGTGCCCGGGCTCCTCCACTCCACCCCACCCCCAGCCGAGGCAGGCTGAGGTTACTGAGGGAGGAAGGGTGTCAGGTGACACAGGCTTGTCCGCTCCAGAGTAGCCCTGTGAGGGACTCGTGGGCTGCTGCTTCTAAAGCGGGGTCAGCAGAGCCACCATGCCGGAGTCCAGGGGACCTCAGGCTGGCCGGCACCCTCCCAAACCCCAGACACAGCAGGCCTCACGGGGCCGTGTCCAGGGGTGCACTGCTGAGGGGGTGATGAGTTGGCCTTTTCTCCAGCCACATCTGGGCTTTGGAACCAGGGTGTGTGTGGGGGCGCTCCTTGGGAGGCTGGGTCACGCGGTTTGGGGGGACTGTCCTCGGGTTGAAAGCAGGCGGCCTGGCCTCCTTGGGGCCCATGTGCCTGCGGCGGCATGGAGCGGAAGGGGTCCTTGTGGCCCAGACACAAAGCAGGCCTTGATTCCAGACCCCCAGTGGAGGGCCGCAGGCACCTACATGTGGCTGTCACCCCAGGAGAGAGGCAGACATGAAATACTTCTTTATTCAGACAATAGCAGGAGGTGGTAGTGGGGAGAGCCGGGTGGGAGGCTGGGGCGTGATTGGCCAGCATCCCCCATACCCTCAGGGCGCCCCCTGCACATCCCTGGGGCTGCTGCTCCCAACCCACCCCCAGGCCCCTCGTTTTCACTTCACCGGTCTTCCTCCTCCCGAAGTGCAACCCAGCCAGGGGTGCTGGGTGCCAACACTCACCTCTGGGTCGGCCTGGTGGTGGGGGTGGGGGAGGCCCCCAGGGGCGCTGCTCACCCAGCCCCGCCTAACCAATGTGCAGACTACTGTACACATCGAGAGCCCTGAACAGGTAGTCTGAACACTGGGACGGCGGGGCCGGTGTCCGGGCCGGGGCCCACTGCTCCTGTGGC